GGTTGGGCATATGTAACACATGTCCCAGCCATCTCAACTGATGAAGTTTCACTACGTCATCGATTGATTTGTCATCCTTACCTAGTACCCATTTCCTAACAACTGCATTACTTACTCGATGGTCCAAGGATATACGAGCAATATTTCGAAGACACCTATGATCAAATACTAGTAGTCTATGAATATCCTCTACTCTTACCGTCAATGTTTCACTGCCATAAAACAGGACGGAACGAACTGCTGCGCAGTAAACACGTCCGTTGATTGATAGACGGATATCTCGCCTACGCTATAAATGACGCAAGTTGGTAAAAGCTAGTCGAGCCTTCTGTATCCGTGCTGAGATTTCGTCACACACCAGACCACAAGGGCTGATGAGACTTCCAAGATAAGTGAAGCGATCGACACGCTCAACTACTTCACTCCCTATCACTAGTTCGGGTGTCGATTCAACCCAATCAATCCGGAAGTAACATTTTGCATTTCGAGAGGCAGAGTCGCATCCCGAACATGCTTGCATTGTTGCTCAGCGTGGGCAGAAGACTCAGCATTTTGTCAGCATCTTCACCAAACAGAACTATGTCATCGGCATATTCTAGGTCGAAAAGTGAATATCTCGGTAGAAGTTCAACCCCTGGAAATCTGGACGAGGAAAGTGTTATCTCTAGAAGTACGTCGACAACAAAGTTGAACAAGAATGGATAGAGTGGACAGCCCTGACGAACACCACTTGAGGTAATTAATTCTGATGACAGTTCACCATAAGCTCTCACTCTACCAGTTGTGTTCGAGTAGACAGCCTTTACAAGGTTAATGTACTTCTTTGGTACGCCTTTCAATGACAAACACTGCCATAGAACCTTACGATCAACAGAGTCGAATGCCGCCTTACGGTCGAGGAATACTACCATCGTGGGGCGTCTGAATGTGTGTCTGTGTTCTAGAACCTGACGTAGTGTGAATGTCTGATCTACACAACCACGTCCAAGTCGAAAACCAGCCTGATTTTCTCTAATCTGTTCTTCACGAGCTTTGGTCGAAGTATTACTGAAGCTAATATTTTAGACACTATATTTGTCAAAATGATTTCTCTGTGATTGTCACAAGAGGACTTTTGTCCTTTCTTATAGACTGGCACAATCAGTGATTGAGACCAGTCAGATGAGATTACGTCCAGTTCCCAAATTCTACCTAAGACCTCAGTTAATCTCACTGCTAATACTGGACCACCATCCTTAAAAATCTCAGGAGTAAATCTGTCAGGGCCTGCTGCTCTCCCTCGTTTCAGATTTCCTATGGCTTTTTCAACTTCGTAACGAGACGGAGGACCTATATTAACTTGCTATTCAGGTTGACTGGAGATCGTAGGAAACCGAAGTGTGGCTGGAGGCCAGTTGAACTGATCCCTAAAGTGTTCTGCCCATCGACCCAATCTCCTGAATTGAGAATGTATAATATGTCCATCTTCCTCTGAGAGTTTCGCTAACAGTCGATTTCCTTAACAAGTCTGAACAATTGTCTGATATTACCTGTTGATGCTGCCTTTTCCAACTATCTTGCTTTCGCTACCCACCACTGTTCACGATCATTGCGTAGACTTCTTGTCAGCTTGCGTTTAATCTGACTCCGCTATTCATTATGTTCAGAGCCAGGTGGAATGAGTTTCTGAGCATCTATCAGTGCGATAGATGCGGCTCAGATCCAGTGTTGCTCCCTAACCTTATGGTTTACCTTATTAGCAGATATCACTGCTGTTTCCACAGCTTTTCGGATATCATTCCATGCTGCCTCGGGGTGGGCATCACCTACATGGCTGCCCAACTGCTTTTTTAGTTGTTCCTGAAATATACTCTTAGCTTGATTATCATTAAGTAGGGCCCTAAGAGGTTTCCTTGCAGCGTCTTTCCTATGTCCAGTAAGACGCAGACAAATACGCGCTCGTACTAGAGCATGATCTGAATCTAAGCATGTGCTCCAGAATGAGCGACAGTCTTCTATCGAACCCATCCATCGGTGGCTGATAGCGATGTGATCTATTTGGGTCCAACGTTGGGACGAATTAGGGGATCGCCATGTTAAAAGGTGCTTTTCCTTATGCTTAAAGTTAGTATTTGCAAGAAACAGACGGTTATCTGAGCATAGCTGCAACAGATGGTCGCCATTATCTGTTCTTTGAGCCACGATGCTATAAATTCCACCTAGGTGTCTTTCCCTATCACTTAGTTTACCTACTTGAGCATTAAAGTCACCGGCCACTATTACTATATCAGAGCGCCTAGCTTTTCGGAGAAGGTCGGAGAGCTTTCTGTAAAACCCATCTTTTACATCATCTGCGCTGCAGTCAGTGGGAGAATAGGCAGAGACGACGAAGAGGCAACGACGAGTGTCCCTATCTTTTCGGATCCTTACTGTTCCGTTTAGTCGGACAGCGCACAAACGAATGTCTACTGGGATCCACTCTAAGAGAGCTAGTTCTGCTCTAGGACTCAATGCTATGCCTACGCCGGTGAGGCCACGGGAAGCAGCATCAAGGCTTCCAGATACACGAAGCGTGGATCGAGTTGTTGCTTTAGTTTGACATCGTGAGGTCAAATGAATGACGCCACTCGGATCCTGTATGCGCGTTTCAGAGACGCAGCACACAGCGATGGCGCAGGATTCTAAAGTTCTAGCTAAGGAAGCCTGCTGTCCTATTTGGCACAGTGTTCGGACGTCAAAAGCTCCTACGTGTAGTTTAGAGCGTGGTTTCTAGAAACCAGGAATAGCGTTCCGCGTACTCGAATCGTTTGCCCTCGCGGTGCGAGCTGATAAAGAGACATGAGGAGGGTTAGTCATGGAGATAAGAGAGGTATTGGGAGGTGTAGGAAGGATTTGAATGTGACCAACTTGGTCGCGTGTGCTGTTACGGGCACGAGGGCTGATATCACTTCCCGGCTGCCCACACCGTGTGAGGGTATTTCTTGAGGAACCTGAAAAGAAAATTGGATTAGTGTTGGTCTTGACGACCTGGGAGCGCGACCGCAGAGCCCGAGGGACAACTGTTTGAGGCCGGTCGCGCACGGCCTTTTCGTGGAAGGTTCTTAATGTGCTAGCTCCGTTTTTCAAAGGGCCCTACCGCCGGAGACGGGAATCCGTGAGGTAAGGTGAGGCATAACATTTTTAGGGTCGACCTTTTCTAACCCCACCCCTCCTTGTGGGAAGACAGCATCGCTGTCATGCTGGTTGTCTGAAGGAAACACCTTACTGCTGCCACACCTCTGTACAGTCAGCAGTACGACTTCGCCTTCGGACCTTGGGTTTGTTGCTTTTGGTCTTACCGCTCTTCAACCGACCTTTCTGACGTGGTAGGACCTTGAGGAACATATGTTCCAGCCAATGTAGCTCAGTTGGGTCATCACGATAGGCAAGCCCGACCACCGCGTCAAGGTAGCAGCTTCGATCGGCAAAGATGTTAACAAAACAAAGACAATCGAAGTTAGTCACAGAAAAGCAGCTGAATGACCTACTATTGGGCCTGGGTGTATAGTATTACTTCCACCCGACCGTTGTTGCTACTTTGACGTGGTGGTCGGGCTTGCCTATCGTGATGAAGCAACCGAGCTATACTGACTGGAACAACTGTTCCTCAAGGTCCTACCACGTCAGAAAGGTCGGTTGAAGGGCGGTAAGACCAAAAGCAACAAACCCAAGGTCCGAAGGCGAAGTCGTACTGCTGACTGTACAGAGGTGTGGCAGCAGTAAGGTGTTTCCTTCAGACAACCAGCATGACAGCGATGCTGTCTTCCCACAAGGAGGGGTGGGGTTAGAAAAGGTCGACCCTAAAAACGCACACCTCGCCTTATCCCACGGATATCCGTCTCCGGCGGTAAGGTCTCAACAAGTACGGAGCTAACACAAAAATGGCCATAAAAAGGTCGTGTGTGACTGACCTCAAGCAGTTGTCCCTTGGGCACTGCGGTCACGCTCCCAGGTTACTAAGACCACTTCTAATCCGATTTCCTTTTCAGGTACCTCCAGAAGAACCCTTCCACGGTGTGGGCAACCGGGAAGTGGTAACCGCCCTCATACCTCTAACAGCACTCAAGACCACTAGTATTTCTTCCGAACAGTTTTTAATTCTGGTTCAACGAGTTGCATATTAAGTTTATGTAGTTATGGTATCACTAGTCCCTTTTATGTTAGCAGTGGGATGCGTTAAGGAAATCAATCGATTCTTAGTTGAGTTACAAATGAAGACTCTAAGCGCAAGTTACCCAAATGCCATAAACTCCGAATACTTGCTATACTATTTGAATCAGTGATATTGATGATATGGAAACTAAGCTATTGAACTGTTGTCATTCTATTTTCATTTTTGAGCTGTTAACCAATCTGAAAACCATTATGAATATTTGGACAAGACGACTAGCTCTACGATTTACGTATTGGTATACGACATCAATAACAAACATCCTGTATACAGTCGAAAAACAATTGTGAGTAACGTGTTATAAAAGCCCGATAATCACTCGATCCAATTCATAAATTTCCAAAACCTAATACGAAGAGAGCGCTGACCTCAAAGACTGTTCAGAGCCGGGCTTTTTGCTTTTCTCTTGAAATTACGTAGTTCGTAAATAGAAACCTGTACATTTTAGTCGTGATCACACTAACTGACCATGCCGAATAAATAAACCAGGGCATGTTAGTTACCCTCACTAGTATATTTTAGTTCGTTAATGTTACTCAAGTATAATTAAAATACAAAATAAAAGCTTTTGAACAAGTGACCACAACTATAACAATTGTCTATCATACTTATCATAGATTCGGTGTTTGCAAATAAGCTGGTTGGTTTATCGTACATAAAGTTGGAACCATGTCTACATGTTAGTCTTATACTCTATACAATAGAACCTATATGGCTCAACACAAGATTTAGCAGCTGAATTACTTTTAAAAAAACGTAGTATCAAGTTACCTAAGAGAACAGTCCTTACATCAAAGCGGATATAAAATTATTGAGAAGACTTAATTTTAATTTTTATTGAATAGATCGACAGAGATGTACACAAATGGACATCACTTTGAGTTTTTCCAACATATTTATGAAGATGGTGTAGGAAGTGATGCATCTTTACAGGATTTTTAGTCTTAGCAGTGTATAAATATGTACTAAGACTAATAACATTAGAGATGTATAGGTCTTGAAACCCCCTAAATTAGGAAGGCGAATTAAGTCGGTGAGAGAAAAGTTTGCAAAGCCATTAAAAATTAAACCAGTGTAAACCAACATTACGGAAAGATCTGATTCAATATTAACTCAACTGTTTCGTAAAAATACAAAAGTTAGATTAAAGGTTGCATGAAAATAGTGAGGTGGAGCTCCACACAAATAATCACAGCCAAGACATTTGGGAATTTGATTTTTAAGAATTAAGAGCAGCCATAACTGCCCAAAGCATTTCACAAGAACCTTCTTTATTGGCCTCTGCAAAGAAGTCGAGTTGGAGTGCATCGTCAATTCGCTTTCTGGCAAGATCATAAACATTATCTGGAAGATGTTGTAAAGCACTTTCTAAGACATCGGAGTAGTGAGACAAGAGCACGAGAGAGAGTAGGCGCTTATCGACTTTCTGAACATCTGTGCTCCATTTATTAAGGACAACATCCTGAATACGACTAATTACGCGTTTTTTACTTCCAAGGTCTACTAAGGGGTGCGTCATCATGTCAAAAAGGATAAAATTTTGTTTTTCTGTTGTGCATATGCGTTTTTCTACGAGGTTTTTTGCTATTCTTTCCCTGACGTTGCGGAGCTGTAATGGTAATTTAAATGGATTCCATGTTTCACCTAAAAGCGTTTATGAATATATACATATAAACCCACCGCTGAGATATTCAATCCATGTTTTCGTATTTTCAGGCTTGTTATCTCTGATATGTTTGAGAGCCTCATCTAGCAATGCATCACCAGTCGGTACGCTCTTTTTGACAACAATACATCTAGACGACAGATTCCTACGACGCATCCCACTCGGCTCTAGACCAATTCGATTTCTGAGACCAAGTTCAACAAGTATGCATCCTCGAAGTCCACAACATACACTATCATTCCAAAATGATAAGTATCCCTACGGAGTTTTATAAATGACTAAAATAGACCAACTTCTCGATCTTTCAACCCCAACAGCAATATCTCTTCCATCAACGTTAGTCTTACTTCTTTGGATTCGGTTTCAGATTCTGGTTCATTGTCAATATTATCTATAGTTCCTGGTAGGTTATTTTCTTTCACAACATTACGCCGATAGATGACCGCCTCTTCTGTTTCGGTCATCTGCTCAAATCTAGTTGATTGAGTAACTAATAAATATAAGTGATAATTATTTTATATTTATATGATATTTAAGACAATAAATTACCTGATTAAAAGTTCTACTTTGGTCAGTGAGTGTTTCTATGATCACACTGTTATATAACTGCCTTTAATACAAAATTCTAGCTTCAGTACTAAAATATTGAGCCAGAGCTAACAAATAAATCACGAACAACTTACGCAGAACACTGTTGTGTAAATAAGTAAACACCAACCCTCATAGGATTGTAAATCCCAACGATCGCGCGCCGCATCCGCACCAACTAAAACAGAAGAAGAATCTCAAAGATCTCAAATGATTGTAAAAGAAATAAGAAGGGCTTTAGTTCAACAAACGTCCTCACTCAATAGCAACAGAACACCGTTTCTTCGAGTAATGAACTCATAATCATGAAAACAAGAGGGAAAAAACGTTTTAACTAAACAATGCGTAATGCGAACAGTCATTGCTGGACCTTGTCTTTACTCATCATTGTGATGATGAAACCGACACTTAGTACCTCCTTCACTAGCAAACAGTGACGAGGTCGTACTTTAGGCTTCGGACTCAATATATAGTATGTATCTGCCCCACCCCGTCCAAATACACGGTGAGCCAACATTCCGGCGATCAGACCATAGCTAGATGCCTCACCATCTACGAAATACAGTTGACATTTGATAGCTGTACTTGCTCGATACGATTGTTTTCTTATATTAAGAGGAGAACGAAGCGTAGAGATGGTATCTCTCCATTAATTTTTTTACTTTTTTTTAACTACTTACTTGTGCCTTTTCTCCCAATGGAGCATGGACCGCTGACCAGCATCCTCGACCCAACTCTGTCCTGTGCCTTCCTCTTCAGTTCTACACAATTTTTTTCTCATTTTTCCTATGTCTGTCTCCATTTCTGGACGTAATGTGTTCTTTGGTCTTTCTCTCCCCATTTTGGACTTGAGGATTCTGTGTGAGGGCTTGCCTTGCGAAACAGTTGGGTGCTTTCCTCAATGTGTGTCCTATACACTTCCAGCGCTTCTTCCTTATTTCCTCCTCCGTTAGGATCTGGTTTGTTCTCTCCCATTGTTGGTTGTTGCTGATAGTGTCTGGCCAACTGATCGGAAGTATTTATCGTAGACAACTGTTAATAAACACTTGTATCTTCTGGATGATGGCTTTCGTAGTCCACCAGGTTTCCACCCCATACAGCAGAACTGTATTGACATTTGTATTACAAATTCTGACCTTGGTGTTTGTTGACAGTTCTTTTGATTTTCAGATGTTCTTCGGTTGTATATACGCTGCTCTTGTTTTGACGATCCGCGCGTTCACATTTGCATCAGATCCACCATGTTCATCTCTCCATTACTGTTGCACGAAAATTCAGATACTTTAGCTGAGTCACATCTGACCAAAGCTGAGACCTTATCAAACTATTTAAACGAAGTCCACTCTACGGGTATTGTTAAAGATAGAAATCATCACCACACCACTGAGTTACCAGCTATGGGACTTGTGAATGTAACTGAGGAAGCTGATCTTTTATCGACCATTAATCTCTGACCCGGCAAGGCACCAGGTAAATAACCCTCCAAAATCAATTGCTCTGTATGTCTTCGACATTTGATGTTAACCGCAGTGGTCTTAGTGGACTCATCTAGATAAGGGCGCCTGGTCACGCATCCACATCAGATCGCGCCGTGCTTCATATCTCCTACAACTGCTGACCAGTTTAGATCAGTCGCTTATATATATATCGATATTCTATCAAATATATCTTCGAACGTCTTTGCTTCTGATTTTCGATTTGGTTGGGTTGGCACGCTTCGACTATAAAAGGTGTTGATGGTTAAAGCGTCATCAAACTCCGAATACTTGTAGCACCTCTAGTGGTGAACCCGACACCTATTCGTTTACGGAACTTTATATATCATATTTTTACTTTACTTTTTACGTATTGAGTTATTTTTCTTGATATTGTTTGTTTTACTGCATTCATTGTTAGACGTTATGTTCATCATAACCGAACAGACCCCTAAATTATTTAAGGCTAACTCTCTCATCACACTCATTCCAACTAATGCCGTTCTAACCGGACAACATAGAAACCTGATTCTACTACAGAGAAGCTGACTTCTGAGAGCACGGCGTGACAGACATATATGCACAATTTCTTACAGTAGTGAAGGAACTGCCGCATGAATTCAACAGGTTCACCAGATCTAGTATGTCTAGTAGTGATGTCTCGGGACCTTACGAAACTCTAAGGAAGGCTATTCTTAAGTATGATGATCTAACCGATAGAAAGAGGTTAGACTAACTCTTCAATGACATCGATCTACAACATGGCTCGGCAACATACATGTTACTACGAATAAGAGAGCTCATCGGTCAATGGACCTTCGACGAAAGCATGTTAAGACAACTTTTCTTGTCTCAGCTTCCCCAACGAGCTGACTGCATCTTCCAACCGAGTTTTGTAGGTCACGAGAACTTACAACGCGGGAGTCCATTCAGTCTAAGAATAAGCTCAGACGACACAAAATGACGTTACGGAACTCTGTCATACTCTGACACGTTGCCTTAGTATTCGTCATGACTATAGACGACCACAAACTCCTGGAAGGCGTACTTCACGGAAACGATCTGTCTTTAGATCACGAGAGACAGATAATCCTGAGTGTTTCTGGTGTCATAATCAATACAGTAAATCTCTTCGAATTTGTGGAGAACCCCGCGGTTTCTCATGCCTCAAACCGATCGACAAGAAAAATGTTACTCGAAACTTCCCAGCCAGCACGCGTTAACGACAACCGTAGACGGTGAACACATTCGACTCTTATACGTCACTGAGGTGATAACGGAAGTCCACCACCTCGTCATCACCGACGCAGAAGTTATCGTTTTTCCAGCGTATTACAACGAACAACTGCATGAACCGGTTTCAAACTTACAGGCGGCAAACGGAAAATCGATCGCCACCATCTACATTCATATCTTATAAATTATCAACCCAGCTATGTAATTTATTACAGTGTATATTGTATCATTTGTATCAATTTGATCTTGCCTGTAAACTGGCATGCCTCATGTAACAAACTGTTATTTGAGAATAAATTATTATTATTATTATATTGTAAGCTGTATTTGCACTTTAACGTGTGCTTGTAACAGATTGAGTTGATTAGTCAAGAGTTAACCTCAAGCAATCAAGTATATTTCAAAACAATAGACCTCAAGAGCTCATTCACTTCATTATATCGTATTGGCATTACATTTCCTATTATTTTATAATGAATGCTGAACGCTCCACTGTGACGGTCTCGTGATCTAAATCAAGACCTATTCACTACTTGTCTGGTTTCTTCTATCAATAGAACGAAGGTTACCTAATGGCACGAAACCGGTGAGCTGTGCTGAATAGAAATTCGACTTAATTTAATAATAATTTTTTACATTGGTCGTAAAGTTAGACTTTCTGACTATCTTTAACTAGAGTTATATATATAGTTTTTATCCTAAGGTATTTATGTTGTAATAGTCATTTTTCGTTCTTATTATATTACTACATTGGTCTTATATCTTATGTGAGATTCAATACAAACCCAAAACCTGGAGGATTTGTCACCTATGGAAATAGAAACTGTTATGAGTACGAAAGCCCAAATCCTGGAATTTGATCGTAGTGACCCTGAGAGTGGTTTGCTCAGCTAGAGCATTTTTACTAGAAACAATATTAAATCTGACGGAATTCGCTATAGAGACTTATGTTCTATCCACTTTTCTTCAGTGTCCAGAGTTTTAAGTCCATCATCACCACAGCTCTACATCACCTTAAGACGAGAGATAATGAACCATTTATTATTATCAAACGGTCAATGAATCCAAAGGCTTTTCCAAGAAGAAACATTAGGTGATAGGTCGACGTCACAGTTTTTACGTCACCAAATCTTAACGGGCGACAACACAGTGGGTGAAGCAGTCCTTAAACAAGGATGGATACAAGCTCTCCCGTGCTACGTCCAACACTGTTTGGATTAACAAGACCCTGAAACTTCTTTATCTCATTCAGCGCGTAGAGCCGATAGAATAATGGAAAAAGGTCCTCTAAATGGATCACGCATGATAAAGAAGAACCATCAAAAGACCCAATTATAGACTCATTGTGAGTGTTGAATGTCCAACTGTGGATGTCGCCAGAGTGCAAATTAGTCACAGAAACAGGAGCATGCTACCACAACGACTAAGATCAAAGTCCCAAAACAGATCACAAGTGTTCAGTCTGTAGCGTGGCGTCGAGTCGGAGATTGACTATGTACACCGCTACCAAAAAGCTCGTTTCAAATGACTCCATAAAAACCCCGAGAAGCCAAATATCAGAAGGCAGAAAATGGACCAAGTCAATATTTATTCACTGGCGATCTCGTGGTATCGAAAGGATACCGAGATCGTGCCAGGATACAAGCTTGGTTACAGAAGGTAACCGAATTCGCGCGAAATTACAATCGAAGTGTGTGAACAAGAAGGGAAGCCCAATATAGCTGTCATTAGCACAGTCAAACAAAAGCACTTTAAAACAAACACTGGTACAACTGTTTGTAATAATAATTGTTTTTATTGAACCAGTCGTGTTCTCGTGACAAATGTAAGTCACTACAGGAGCCCCCCGCTAGAAAGGGTTTACACTTTCGATAAATAGCGGTTTAAATCGTGGGACTGATCGGCTGACAAGCGATTGTAGGACGAACGGATTGGCGAACAGGAAAGCGATCGTTGATCGTCGAGTTGTCAACGAAGGTCGTTTTCGGAGAACGGTACCAGGAGCGATGTGCTGTACTTGTTGCTTGAGTTGGCATGCTACACGAGTGGTTTGTATCCAGAATCTGAAGATTGCGTTCGTAGGGAATCCGGACCAGAAACGCTGCAGACGTAGGAGGAAACCACGTTGAGCCGAAAGACCAGAAGCGACCGCAAGGACCAAGTTCGAGACCAAGCGTGTGCCAAACATTCAAACCAATATATCGACTGAGTGCGTTGACAAGAGCGTGGGTGATCAGGCCAGCTTTCGCCAAGGTTGACTGAAGTCGACGGAACCAAACTGAGGTGGTCGAAGGCGTGGGCTCAGGAAACAAAAAAAAATCAAAAAAAGAAGAATGTAGCATGCGTTTAGTATAGGAATAATCCTACACCGTATCGGTTGTTGACTGTGCGGCTAGTCACGAAAGCGTACGGGCAACCGTACTCGGCGACCGGAACGTGAGACAGTAGTCTCGTTCGCGTCGCGTGAGCCTGCAATCTCATCCGAAGTCAAAGGCGGCGTGGTCTGCTGATCTGGACGTGAGACTGTTGTCTCGTCCGTAGACGGTGCAGATGACGCATGCTGTTGACTGGGACGTGAGAATAAGGCCTCA